TTCCTTTCCTTTCCTTTCCTTTCCTTTCCTTTCCTTTCCTTTCCTTTCCTTTCCTTTCCTTTCCTTTCCTTTCCTTTCCTTTCCTTTCCTTTCCTAAGAAAAAATAGAAGTGTCTGGCATTTTCCCACCCACCCATCTTGGATTTAATTCAAAAGTGCTCTGTTCAGGATAATATTTTGTCTTTGCCAAATGGGAAAATTTTGGATACCATTGTGGAATATGGGTGTGTTTTGTCTCTTCCTTCTGCTGAGGACATGTCCAGTGTTTTTGTTAATGGTGTTCTTCCTGTTTTGGGCTTTTCTAGTATCCTATTAACAATATACCACACAATATATTACTTAACAGTGTTAGTTATAGGCAGTATGTAAACAGATTTTTTCTCATAACTTCTGCCTCTACTACATGACAAAAGAAATTTATTAAATGGGTCATAACCCCAAACCTATACAGTGTGCAAACTAAACACTTATTTACTTTGCAGCAGCAACTTTCTTGCTGTTATCCTACACGGCATTCCAGTGGCATTAGTGCAAGATGGAAAAGGAATGGAAATTTCAGTTTTATTTGATTATATGATACAGGGAAAACTTGTGTGGCATTGCTGGTTTGAATTTAATAGCATGAGCTCAGCTGATGGGCTGTTTCATTGCTCTTCACTGACCTGTCCTGCAGCTGAGGACACAGGAGGTCTGAGCAGACATTTCCTCTGTCTCTCTCAGAAAAAGGAAAAGCATTTGCCAAGGACATCTGGACTCAGGAAAAAAATAACATTTGTGAAGTTATCCTCTCTTTGGGAACAGCTTAGGTTTAAGTTGTTTGGATTTTGCAAGCCTTACTTTTAGTGGAGAAGGTACCCCATGGTTGGCCAAGGTACCTGAGAGCTGGACAACCTGCAGGTCCTTAACAATTTCTGGAGACTGTGAGTGTGCCTCATCAACAAATTGTTTGCATTTTTCTGTCCTTTCCCATGCAGTGGTGGTTGGGTGCTCCTGGAATACTGTCTGCTCCAAAGGTCATGGGGGTGTTCTGGAGGGATGGGTGGTCACCAGGTGAACAGGTTGAAAATAAATAAATAAGTGCCTGGGGGGTGTATCAAATTCAGGTCACTGTGTGTGTGACAGGGAAGAGCACGGCAGGCAGAATGGACGGGAACAGATTTTGTTTAAATTTAGCTGCAGTGTTGTGGTTGGAAAAGGCTGATGAGAACTTGGCACTTAACTCCTCACCTCATACTGCTCCCCCCAGTAGGGTTGTCAACCTCCAAACACAGCATTGCTGGTGCAGAGCCTGGGCAAACACCCTTTAAATAACCTCTTCCCTCCTACAGACTGTTTTGCTGAGCTGTTCTGTTTCTTAGCATCCACAATAGTGGCCAACATTTAGCATGTGGAGGGGTGCAAGTCCTGCACCAGAAGCAGGTGGATGATGAACTGCTGTGAACCTCCCTGTCACGCAACCACCATCCACAATTTTGGGTATGTTCCATGATTCCCCTCCCACCCTGTGGTCCAGGTAGGAGATCCACCAGGTAAGACAGACTCATCTCCCATCTCTTGAAGCCAACTGCATCATGAGGCCACTCTGGAATGCATGGGAGCTGATCCCAGCTTCCTGTTCTCCTTGCTCTCTCCCAGCCCTCTCACTGCACAGGGCAGGTGGGATCTGGGCTCGTTGTTGACAGCTGTTTATCTCCTCAGCTCCACTTCCCATGCCAAGCCCTTCTGTTTGTCCTCTGGGAAATGATGCCTCCAAGCATCCCCAGTGCAACCTTAGGTCAGGAAAAGCTGGCATGAGATTTTGGCATCTGATGACTCCAGGTCCCCCATGACCACCCCCTCTGTGCAGGTCTGTGAACTTTCTTAGCTCAGAGCAAGTAAGGGGGGGAATTTGAAACTATGCTGCCATCAGCTTCCTGTCTGCAGGGAAATTGTGGATTCCCCCAAACTGGTATTTTGTCAGAAAGTTACAGGGGAAACATTACCTTCCCAAAAACTAGGAGAATGCCATGTTCATCTGCATCCCAGGTAGAAGGGAAGCAAGCAAAGAGAAAAACCTTATTCCCTATCCATCCTTCCCATCCCAAAGGAAATAGTCCTCTGACTTTTCCTGTGCTGACACATCCTAAGCACCAGTAAGGTAATTTTTTTTTCTAGCTACATCCTGAGTCTCTGACTTTCCACAACAAAAATGCCAGTGCTGTCCCTGTCACCATCTGCAAACCTTCTAAACATGGCTGTTGTCCCCACTCATGGGATGGGGACAGGGATATCCATTTTGTGTAGTCCTACAGAAAGCACATCAGCTCCAGTGGAAACGAGCAATGGATTTCACTGGAGAGGAGAGTGACAGACTGTCATCTCATCATGGCTGTTTTCCATGCTGCTATATTTGTTTTATTTTTGGTGACAGAATTAATGCCCCTCAAATGAGCATTTAAAGCTTCCTTTCTTTTTCAGTTTAATTGGAAAAATAAAGGTATTTTCAGAAAGATATGTGCCCCTGCTTTCTGAAGTAACAACCTGGTTTTCATCCTTTGTCCTTCCAGGCTACATCCACCATGCCCAGTGTTTGTTTTCTGCCCCCAGTGTTCAACTGCAGAGTGTGTTAAGCACCCTGAAGAAAGAATCCTCACTTGTGTCTGTGCTGCTCAGTTCAGGTCAGCAGGGCTTGCAATAGAGATGGACCTTGAAATGGACCTTGGATGTGTTGCTGATATCTTTAGACCTTCTTCCAGGAAAGGAAGGAGAACACTTGGTCTCGCCTTTCTGTGCCAAGATGAAGTAAAAACGTGTGTGGGGGGGAGAAAATGAATAATTGATTCTGGTCTGAAGTTTTTGGAAGTCTAATGCTGAAAATATGAAGATTTAGGATAGTGTTTTTGTTCACACTGTAATGGCCAGGAATTGTGTCCTCACTGAGGCTGCAGAACTGAATGCCAATGAACTGTGCACTGTAGGAGCTGGGGGAGCTGGGGCTGTTACTGCACTCCCAGTTTTTAAGTCCCTTTTCCTCTCTTCCTCCCTGCACAAGAGACGAGCCCAGCTGCCTGCCTGGGGAGAAGACCTCTGTCAAAGCACGTTCCCTGACAAATGAAAGCCCCCTGTGCTGAGATTATGAGGAGCTCTCTGGTCGTGGGAACCTTTAGACAAGGATATATGAGCCTCCCCCTCCTGCCCTGGCAGTGACCCCGGCTCCAATCCCAGTCCTGCAGCGTGACCACAACTGGGGCAGCTCGTGACTGCTCTTGGCCACGGACCCCAGGGCCCCAAAAGGTGAAAAGTGAGGACAGAGCTCTAGACATGACCACACCTGATGGACATAAGGTGGGAAAAGCTGCTGGAGCATCCTCGTACAGTGACTTTTGAGGAGCAGCATCACAGAGAAATGCCATGGCATGGTGGGGAATGGCACTGAGAGCTGCTGGCCATCAGGAAGGAGTCTAAGGAAAGGTGAGCACCTTTCCAAAACAGAGCATGTTGCAGCTGCCTGTGGCACTGCCTTGAAAAAGTGATAGGTTATATGTGTGGGGAGAAAAAAAACATTGAAAATAATAGCATAATTGGCTGTCTGGCAGGCTCAAACTTCAGCAGAAGCTGTTATTATACTTGTCACTATCTGTTAACCTTCAAAACAGGTGCTGTGCATCTGAGGTGCCAAGTCGGTGCTCAGGCTGCAATCTGTGTGTGTGACAGGAGCATGGGCTGGAGGAAGGGCTGGGGGCCCTGCCAGATGGGCACAGGGGCAGAAAGGGGATGGTCCTGGGCAGGCAGAGGGTGTGACACAAATGGATTTGGCTGGCTTTGAAAGGGGAGCACATCCCAGCAGTGCTGGGACCCAGCAGGACGTGTCCATAGCCGATGGCAGACGTGCTTTAGTGGGGACCCTGGCAAAGGGCTTCTCTTTTCCATTTTGATTTAGTAGCTGAAGGGCTTGGGCTAGGGTCATTAAAGTTCCCAGATTACTGAAATCTGTAATAGTCAGCTGGAGGAACCTTGACTCCTGCCACAGTTTTGAATTTTTACATGGTTTTAGAAATTAGAACTATAATGCTTTGTTGCACTCTTGGTCCTGCTCAGTGTCTCACTTTAATGTTTATTCTTGTAAAAGCCATAAAAACTGTTAATATTTTGTGCTTAATATTTTTAGTAAACAAATTGTTTCAATGAAACAAAAGAAAAAAAAAAGAAAGATAAGCAGGTTTCTTTTTCTTCCAGGGAATATTTTCATTATAAACCTCGTTATGACAAGTGTGTTGGGGTCTTGCAAGGCTGCATTGCTAAGTAAGTCAACAAGCATTGTAATGCTTGGCATGTGTGGAAGGTGAGTGAACAACATTATATGGGAAGATTAGGTAGCGCTCTGTAGAATACCTAAAGAATTTGAAATACAAGACTTTGAAGAAAAATGTTGGGAATGAAGATCAGGGGATTGTAAGGTGCTAGTCACTGGCATTTGGCATGGCTTGCAAAGCAAGAAGACTGTCAGCACACTTAAAAATCACCTAATCTTGTCTAACTTAATGTAATTAACTCTAAAATTCAAACTCAATCAGATGAAAATATGCTGATACAACATGTATGAGCAAGATAACTTTGTGTCTCAGTTCCACCATGAGAGTCTTTTCAAAGCAATCCATGTCAGGTTATCTGAGTGCTTTAAAAATTACACCTGTATCATGCCCTTGTCCCAAATAAGAACAACTCAGAAATATTCTCATGTGAATGTGTGTGACAGTCATCAAGCAGAAATAGCTGATTGTTGATATAACAACAAGTTTACTCTAATTGTTGATGAAACTCCACAGCTGGTATTTTTTATTCCTGCTACTGTTTATTAAACAGCTGTCAGTTTGGGTGTGAAGTCAGCAGGTGTGGAAAATCTGTTTTTACCATCAGAGCTGGTGCTGTGGGGCATTGTCTCAGTTTGGGGTTTTCTTTTATTCTGTATTTTGGAATATTGCAAATCATAATGCAATAACCGAGTACCCATAAACAGTCTACTGGCAGCTTATCTTGATGATCAGAGATGTGGTGCAAATGTGCCTCCTTCCCTCAGGTGTTCTCATGCACCTCCCACCCTACTCCTGAAAGTGGGAGAATTCACAGTGAAGGTTATGAGAGCTCAGGTTATGGCCTGAGCAAAAGCTGCTGTCATTTCCAAGCTCTCTGCTGCAGGACAGGGGTGGCTGTGCTTCATTTCTCCCAGGAGCACAGTCTTGGTGCAAGGGATTTGCAACCCCTGCAAGCCTGGCTCCCATGCTGTTATTTCCCAGCTGGAGGTGGAATGGCACACGCAGCATTTGGGAGAAGGATGTACTTTTCCTTCCTTCAAGAGAGTCAACAGGCACATCTAGAATTAAGGAGGAATGAATTCTCATAGAGAGCCAAAAGCAGACTAGTATCAATGCAAAATTTTGTTTTTACTAATTCTTGTGCTTGCGAAAATCTTGGTGTAGCTGCACCTCTGAGACATCAAGATTTGAGAGGACAGAGCTGTGAAGCAGAGGAGTTTATAAAAGCTGAGGAACTATGGGGTCCTTAAAAGAAAGTGGAGATCAATGCCTTCTCTATGACCCTAGGGAGAAATTTTATTAAAGAGAAACATAGATTGAAGTGTTGCCTTGGAAAAGAGAGCTCTGTTGTCCTGCTGCAAAACATTGGATCAATTTCTCTGAAAAAAAATTAGATGTTAAAGGGACTAGTGTGGAATTTAACCTGCTGATGAGAGTGAGCACTTTCTACAGGAAAATAGCTCCCAGACTGCGTTGATTCCATTTCCACTGACCACAATGGAAATTTGGGCACTTTGCTGCGGTCCCGTGTCCTAATCTTGGATCTCAATCCCACCCCTCAAGTCACAGACAGTTTTAAAGCAGGTGTGATGGTTCAGAGCTTGAAAGTGAATTTCATCTCCACATGGCAAAGGGGCTGTTGGGAGAGGCAGAGACCGCGGCACGAAGCGATCGGAACTCCCTGAACTCCGTGAGCTGCCATTGCCCGCTCCATCTGCGACTGGGCATTATTTCAGAAAGTTCAGGACAAAAAGGGAGTTTATCTCTTCACCTCCAGGAATTGATATGCCTTATTTCAGCAAAGAAATGACAGATTTGAAAGAAGAAAAAAAAAAACAAAACAGAGGAAGCATTTTAGTTATTTTTGGAGACCATGCTTCATGCTTGTTTCTGACTTGGGTGGAAATTAAATGGAATTGACTGTTTCTCTTCCACTTCTTTCACAATTTTTTTATTTCTTTATATCAGAAGTTAATTACTGAAGCCTATGTAACAATAGAGAGAAGAGTATTTGTATCAGCTATGGATGTCTACAGGTGTTTTGGATTGCACTGCCTTAAACTATTCTTAAAACAGGATACTGACAAAAAACTATTACTTCATCACTACAACTAAATAAAAATTTTACAGATTACAGCTGGTAATTTTAAATTTAAAATTAGGTCAAATTGTACAAGCACTAATTAGGACCTCCTTCATCCTTCTGAGATTGATAACAAATATTTTTCAAAGAAAGTAAGTCTGTATTTTGTGTCACATTTTTTTAAACCCCAAATATTTCTGATGTGGTGAATACGTGGAATATTTCCCATCTTTTCTGGAGATGAGAACAAGTGAAATCAACAGGTCTTATCTGTCTCTGTCTTTGGCAGTGATTATAACAGCAACTTTTAGAAGCTCTGTTTTCCATAAATTGCAAAATATTTAGAATACCTCCTTGAAATCTTTAGTAGTTAAGTCTTGTAAAAATGTTCTGTTATTGCAACCCCTGGTGAGTGCCAGGATGACAGATTTATACTTATTTGATCATTTCCTTCACCCTGTCCAAACATTGCAATAGTATTTGCTTTCTCTCATGTTTCTGCCACTGCTGGGCCTGAGTTACTAAAAGCAGCATCCAGAGGAACTTGCTAACCTGCACTTTTAGTAGTCCTGGTGCCATGTATCTGGTTATTAAGAAGTTACTTTAGTAGTGACTCTTTTCCTTCCATTTTGATTATGGCCTGAGTAGGAAATATTTATTCTTTTCTTATGATATGAACATGTCCTAATTTATTCCTGGGAAGAGAAACAATACATTTCTTAAACACTTCTGATTTTCTGCATTATTACTGACTACTCTGGTGCTCTTACTACTCATGGGCTTTCAGTATTAGTAGGGTTACTCTTGGACCCAATGGATTCAAACATCTGCTCCTTACTGTCTTTTTTTTTTTTTTGTCCATATATTTCCTTGCATCGCTTTTCTTCCTTATTAATTTTGTATAACTCCAGGATGTATTTTCAGTGTTTACAACATCTCTCTTATAAACATCCATCCATTATTATTGCTTATTTTGCATACTTTTCTATTCTAGATTTTTGGAAATATGCTTGCTTCCTTACCTGCAGTTTTAGTCTCATTTTGTTGTTGTTATTTTGTTATTTTTACATCTAGCTAAATAATTTTAAACTATTCATTGCATGCATCACATTTAGTCTCCAGTTCTTCCTTACAACTGGCTTGTACTTATTTGAGCTTTGTGAACCTGGTTGTGTTGAATACCATGTGTTTTTAACTGACTCAGACAGGGATCCAACGTAATCATTTCCACCTTAGTTACTGTTAGCTTTTATTTCTTGGTTAGAAAATTGTCATCCATGATTTGTAGAAATTCCAGAGGAGTTACTACTGCCAGCAGGAGATTTTGATATATACCATCCTGAGTCAATTTTCCCATGACAGTCCTGCACCCATGGTAGATAAATGACTTTGGAGCTGCCCCACCTAATTTTGAGGGTGGTTTAGCACTGAGGCAGGCAGCCATTATAACCTCATTTTGTGCTTTACCCATCTGGACGTGATCAACAAGCAGTCAAAATCATTTGCTCCTGAGCTATCACTGCTACAGAAGAAATTAATGCCAGCCTTGGTCTCTTTTGCACACCTCATGCTGCTCTGGAAGGTTACAGTCACTGCCTCTACCTCACTCAAAAAAGTAGATAATTTCACTGGGTGTCATTAGCAGGAATTAAAAATAACAGTTTGACAAAGAATTTTGAGAAATAATTCACAAATGTTGATGAGCATTTTAAATTGTTCTTCCAAGGTTATACTTTTGCATATGAAACCTGTGTTTCCCCACCTTCTCACTAACTTTAGTTATAACACCTATAAAATGCTTTATCTTTTAATGAAAGTTTTGTTTGAAAAGTTGTGAATGAAGGAGATATAAGTCAACTGCTTTCACAAGGCTTCTTTCTGAACCGGGTTCTTAAAACATGGATAGGACGGAAGCAGTGATAACTTCAGAGGTGAGTTCTAGGTGCTGTCATGATTGTTCTCATCAGCAAAGGCAAGAAGAAACTCTGAAATCAGAAAAAACGGAAGAAATTAAAGTGATCCAGAATAGGATCCTTTTGCATTCTGCTTTTGCTTATTGGTAAGCCCAGGCTCTCACCACCTCTTTGGGTTCAGCAGACCACACATGGAAGAATTCACATTAATGTCATTTTTCACATCTGAAATGCTGGTCCAGAAGGGGGACACAGGAGAGGGGTGACATCTCTGGGAGCAGGAGGCCCCATGGAGACACTGCTGTCCTCGAGGTGGTAACTTTCAAGCCCCATGCTCAGGGGCTAAATGTTACTGAAAAATAAATATTGACTACTGACAGAGTTTGGAGAAATTCATGTGGGTATTTCCAAGAGTTTATGAATTAACCAGAAATGGAGATAAGTCCTATGCTATCTATTTCATCAGCTAAGAAACTGTTGACTGAAGTCTAGTGTGAGCCAAGTATCTACACGAACTGTGTTTCAAAGAATTAATCATATCTTCAGATATGGAGCTTGCTAGTTAGTTTAATTACTGTCCTTTTTTTTTTTTTCTTTCAGTAGTTAAATGGACCCGATGACAATTTATTTTTTTTAAATAGATGAAAGAGAAGCAAGCTTCAAAACAGATAATGAATTTCTTCTAACTCGTCTGGAGACTGAAGAGCCATAATTCTGATTGATCAGATATGGTCTGCTTCAGAGAGGCACCAGATGTGGTCCAGATTTTAAATAGATGCTGCTACTGTCAAAATGCATTCGCTCCCTCCTGGTGTAACAAAGTGAAGTCCATCTGTCTGGAGTTGTGCACTTATTTTAGTGGTAATAACAGTTAACATCAACAATAAGCTTTGTCTCATTAGTATCACATAATCCCTACTACCAAGTCCTCAGATTCTGGTCTCCATATTATCTGCCATGGAAAAAATAAAGACCACAGCAGGAGCTAAGAAGGTCAGTGCATTCTCAGGGTAATCAGCTGTAGTAAATTCAATTCTGACAAGACAAGGCTTGCAAATGTCTGGGGAATTAAGGGATCATCTATAATTTCATATGTTGAGTGGGAAAGTGTCCTTCCAAGCATTTATTAATTACAGATGAGGATGTGTATGGTGAGCATCCTTGGAGAAATTTCTGCTGAAGCAAAGCAAGAAAAACAGATTTAACTTTTTGCTGATATATCTAAAGAAAAACTACTGATCTTCTCACTTGGCCTTGCAATGGTTTCAGTCAGTATTATTTCTCTCCCAGGGTTTATATCTCTGTCTTAGCAACAGATGTCTGTCACCCCTTATGAAAGCTTTTGCATAAAGGGCTCCTACTGCAACCAAAGGAGGAACTTGCCTTGGCTTTAGTCTGGCTCAGTGCCCTCACTCCGGGGTTTGCACTGCTTAAGAAGTAACAAGTAAAGAACAGCAGACTAAAGAGCTTCTGCAGTTTGGAAAACTTAATTACTCCCCTTTGAGGTCTGTGTTGTTCTTTCTGTTTTGCAGATGAGGAAATTAAAGCACAGGGAGGTCAGAAGCTAACATTTTCCAACTTGGGCAACTGAAGGTAAGTGCTTACATCCACACCTTCCTTCCTCAAGAGGAAGTCCTCAACACTTTTACACTCTTTCTGCATCTGTTTTTTGAAAGTGTTGGCTATATCTTAGCCAAGAGCTCTCCAAATGTCACCAGAATTGCTGAAAAGGCCATTAAACTGTATTAAAAATAAGAAATGTAAAGTGTGTAGCTCATTTCCCTTAGTGCAATCAAGACTGAGGAGGAGCAATGTAAACAAAATGCATCAAGGACTAAATATCCAGGGAGGAAAAGAACTTTTTAAGTAAAGAAATAAACTTGCCATGAGAACAGATTGATCTTGGTTAAACACAAAACATGTGTTTAAGCATGGATTGAAAATGAGAAGATTTGTAATAATCAGAGGAATGAAGACAAATGGGGAGGATAATGTCACTCGGGTTGAGATGAAGTTGAATCAGAATCTAAGAGAGAAGAAGGGATTCTGCACCAGCATTTCAAAGGGACTGGACTTGATAGTTCAGCATGTGTTCCCATGTTGTGCTCACAGTATTGCAAACCAGGTTCTTAACCCACACATAAACTCCAGGACAAAACAGTCTTCCTCCTTGCAGGGGCCCCTGGGTGCTTCTACTTTAGGATTTAGGTCATTTGGGTAGGAAAATGCTATTGGTGCCACAGGAAAAAAATGAGTACCTGGTGACATCAGATACCCCTCTCCCTTCAGACCTGCAGAGCCTCGTATGCCAGATTGCAGCTATTGTATGAAGAATTTTCAGTTCCTTTTTGTGCCTGGAGGCTGATTGAAAGTTCATATTATTTATGGCAGAAAACAGCAGTGTACTTTTGAGCCTGAGGAAGCTGGGAAAGTGCAGTGGGTGTCAATCAATTAAGCTATTCAACTTATTTATGAAACAGGACAAAACAATGTCTAGGATATGAATTCCCATCTCAATGGGATCCCCCCTGATATAAAATGTCAGAGCTGAAAAAGGGTCAGCTCGTGACCCTTGAATATTCTTTTAAACTATTTGCAAATCAATACCTCTTCTCTGGGTTTGTGCAGGGACCATCATTCCCTTTTATTATAAGTCACAGGGCATAGACTGCTTATCAGGGAGTGTGGAGACAGATCACTGCACTAAAGCAGCAGCTGGCTTTGGAGACTGGGCCTGACTCATTTCTGGGGGGGGCTCACTTCACTCTACTCTGGAAGAGCAAAAGACTTTAAAGTGAGCATAATTATGGGTTTTGCTGACTCTCAGGCTCCTTAATATCTGCTGGAAAAGCAAAGAAGTCCTTTGCCATGCATGCAATTGGGCTTGTCTCCCTCTTACTAGTGCCTATATCAGCCAGGAACATCATCTGCCATTTCCTCTTCCAATTTTTTTGTGTCAGGAGTCTGCTGTGTCCCTGGGTTTTGGAGCTGCAGTCCCAAATTGTCACCCTTTCTTAGCAATAACCTGCTGTACAGGTAGGGCTTGAATGGACAGATGGCCTGATCCTCAGCTGAGCATCTGGCCTATTAAGCTCTCTAAAAAGGCATCATCTTTACAAATCCCAGTCTTAATCTCATTGCCCACTGTGTGACCCATGGGGTTTCAGATCAGTGCCAAAGATGGGAAGAGGAGGAGAAGGAGGGCAGCTGGAGGATCCACAGAGTCAGGGGAAGGGAGGTGTCTGCAGGGCAGGTCTCTGACCATTTCTCACCATGAGGAGCTGGAGAAAGTCAACAGACCTGGCTACCTTGAGCTCTCCTGCAAGGAGGATGTGCACAAAATGAATCCTTGAAATAGTGGTCCTGGCTTTTGGATAGGTCCCTTAGACCTCCCACTGAATCTTCTCATGGCATCTTCTTTATCCATGCAAAACCACGGCATCATCCCAGTGCCTTTCAGCAGCACTTGGGCCAGCTCAAGCTGCGACAGGTGAACTGAGGATAGAACAACAGAGGGAATGCCCACTTGCCTGCTGAGGTTTATCAATGAGAGATGAAGAAGAGAGCAATTTGCAAGGAAGGGGGTTGTTCATGCCAATGCTCCCATCTCCTAACAGCGTGCCATTCCTCATGGGTTGTCAGTGTACTCAGCTTTTGTCTAGAAGGCCAGCAGTGGGGTATATCCTGTGAAAAAGGGGCTCTTCCCTTCACTTTCCCTGTTAAAGAGCAAACCTTGAGGTAAAAATTTGATAGTGTTAATAGCATGTGAAAAAGGGAAAAATTTCCAAGTTGAACTTGCATAGCACTGAGTGACCTGAAAATGGTCAGCTATGGACTGGTTTTGAGGTAGATCAGGTCCAAATAGAAAATAATTTAGAGCAGATTTGAATCTCATTCTATTAAAGACATTACATTTACCATTTGAGTTCACTGAGATTTTCTCCTCAAAAAATTCAGAATGAATTCCTTAAAAAAGGAGTAGCCACAGATACATTCAGTGCTTTATGGTAACCAAGCATAGAGGTGGTACCCTTCTGTTTTTCAAATCTAAAATATTTTAATGTATTTTTGAAAGATCAACATAGCAATCTCTTTTTAAAATTCAACCCATTTTAACACCTGAAAAAGTGAGTAATTTTGATATTTTGAGTTTGTGCTGCTGGAAAAAATATATCAGTGAAAGTCTCCCCTACATCTGTAAAAGAAAATTTGGACATTACTTCATGTGCAGCTTTGCAGTAATTCTTGTGCAGGCTTGTAATGATGGATGGTAGGAAATGTGAAACAAAAGCCCCCAAAGAATCTGAATCTCTTGTTGTTTGGATTTTTTTAAACAGGATTTTCCTTTACTTAGTGAATCTTAGAGAAATCCATATTCACTTGGGTCTAAAACATGCAGTAAAATCAACCCAAAAGGGCCAAAAGGAAAATGAACCTCTAAACATGAGCAGGCATGTAATACAAGTTTTTTCCCATTTATTACAGACAGCCACTCTTCAAATTTAAGTCAATCATTCTAAATCTTTGTTTCAGACTGTCATCTAGACACATTTTTTTTAACATTCTTAACTTTAAATGCATACAGAGTTCTCTAAAATATTATTCAAAAGGGCAATTCACAGATACAGCTTAACTCTGATATGCCTAGGAAGGTGATACAAGCATATTTTCCCCAAATAATCAATGAAAATTGTTCATGATCAAAATAAGAAACAAGCAGTTCATTAGCTATCAATTCACAATTAAGATAAAGAAAGCAAGTCCAAGAATAAGAAAGAAATATCTATGTTCTATTTATAGGCATGTAAGCAATATCTTCAATATTACATTCACTGGAAAATTTTCTGGAGAGTTCTTTCATTGAAAAGTGAAACAAGATTGGGTGAAAGCATCTCAAAAGCTGGAATATGAATACAGAAAAGGAAATTTCCAGTCAGCCCAAGGTTTGTTATTAATAGACTCTTGCCACACAATACTTCTTAGAAATAGATTAGGAGTTGAAAGTTCACCATGATGTAGCTATAAAAAAAAAAAAAAAAAAAAAAAAAAAAAAAAAAGAAAAAAAAAAAAAAAAAAAAAAAAAAAAAGAAAAAGAAAAAGCTGATGAATCGCAGTTGTTTCCATCTAAATAAAGAGTAACTAACCAAGGAACCATCTGTCGGTGTATGATTACCAACTTTCTTTTTGTCTTTCAAAGCAGCCTGAGAAATCAAGGGCACTGGGAGTAGAAGGGAGAGCACACACACGCTGCAGGCTTGCCAGCAGCCAGCCCAGAGGGTCTGATGTGATCCTGCCCTTTTTCTCTGGGTGCACTGATTTCACACTGCTGGTTTTCATCTGGCGTGCCTCTGTATTTCAAATACATGCTACACACTGACAGCACTTTTCTGCAGTAAATGTGGGTAATTTTGGTGTAGTTGAGAGCTGAAAAGTAAAACTTTTCTAAGAGAGGAAAACCTCAAAGTCCCCTCTCTCAGTTGTTAAACTAACAGAATAATATTAATTCATTTCCCCCCTGTTATTGAACAGCAAAAATCCTAGGTTACCCTGAAAAAGCATATCCTTAATGGTTTTCTTAAGCCTGAATGCCCTACTAGCAGTAAGAAAGACAAAGCAATAAGATCTAAGGCCTTTTAGTCTCTAAAAACTATGTAGGTTTTCATGCTGGAAAAATGAGGGATTTATTCCTTTTTTTTCCGGTCACATGAATTCAGGGTCAATGTACAATTTCTCATTTTGTTTCTATTCCAATGACCACCTCTTTCGGGGTGCTTTATTCCCCCACACCCCATCTGACTCTGATCAAACTCGCCGCATCTGGCTCTTTGTTGCTTTGCAGACATTGCAACCACAGACCCACAGCCCACACAAAACCCAGCACCCACAAGACACCCTTCCTTTGTGAAGGAAGAGAGATGGACACCAAGAGATTTGCCAGTGAAAACCTGCTTCCATCCCACCCCAAATAAATTTTTTATGTTATATTTTTACAAATCCCCTGCCCATGACTCCATGCCTTGCCCTCCCTCAACTCCTCCAGCCGTTCTCACGCCCCAGGTACCCTTGCCTCAGGCTCAGCCCACTCAGCTTCTCTCCCTGCTGCATTTCCCCTTGTCCCCAGCCCTTAATCCATGCCTCCCACCTCTGACCCAGTGGCTGGGAGCAGGTGGAAAGGCAGGTGATAATACAAATATTTATGTCAGGAAGTCTGCGCTTGGACATGTTTCCTGGTGGAGTTGTCGCACTTAGAAAAAAATGATAACAAAAATAAATCCAATCCCAAAATACCTGTACAAATGCACAGAGAGGTATATTTCCTTTGCATGGCCACCAAAATAAAGAGTGCCTCTGAGTAATCATTAATAAACCTCAGGAGCATGAAATTCAACAGACCTAAAATTGCCAGGATCAGCTACTCAGTGAATTTCTAGAATAGGAAGTCAGACAGCAATGACTATCCTACAACTACAGAAGCAAAACAACCATTTAAATGTACATCTTGTTGGTTCAATATGTTGGTTTCTGATTGTTGTCAAGTGTAAATGGGAACCGTCCTACCAAATTTTCTATTTGTTTACATAATATACTGAGTTACATGTTAGTATTGCACCAACCAGTCCAGCATCTAGGTGCCAGTGAATAGCCTATGGCCACAGATTTAAGCAAGTAAAACAATTTGCAAGTAGCTCTAAGAAGCACCATCCCACTGCCTGCCTGCAAAATCTTTCAGACTCATTAAGCAGTCAGCAAATAAGACACATTTGTCTCCCATTAAAGAGTAAATTGGAAATACTGAAAGGAAACCTATGCATGGCTGTGATTTGTTAGAGAGTGTATTAGCAGGAGCAGCCACAGTGTGTTTAGCAGTTGGGTATGAGTTAAAGCAGGAATTGGAGTGAGAGGAACTATTTTAAATTGTCTCTATTAATAATCTGAAAGTACATTTAAAGCCATCAGCAGTCACAGCCATCTTTGACTCTTCCAAGAGGAAGTTGCCATTTGTTGCAGAGCCGCTGTTGCTTTTATTTGACACTCAATATGTGTTTTCCCCACAGTATTAGATATCTTGGGCTCTATCCAGGATACATTTGGAAAGGAACTGATCCCTGTAGTTCCTACGCAACGATGAGATTTACTACTGAGGTCGATATGTATCTTTAGTGAGTCAAATAAACATAAGGAACATTAATTAGGGCTGCTTGCTGAATTTAGATTGCATTCACACAGCCTGATAGGGCAGCTGGTGGGGCCAGGCTGGTTCAGCCAAGGTCTCACTGGGTGAGACAGGCAGCAACCAGGACCTGGATCAGCTGTGGGCTGAAAAATAACCAGCCCTGCTGATCTCCCCCCAGGCTGAAGGCTGACTTTGAGAAACTCCTCGGAGTTTATCTGAATTTAAGGAATTAAGGCATAAAACCCCAACCTTTTCTGGATAAAGAGAGGTTTGAGATCATTTAGGGACATATCAGCAGTAGTGTGGTGTTGTGATGTTAAAACTGGTGCTTCAACACACCACGGTACTCAGCCATATATGTGATGAGTGAGTGTTATAAAAACTCACCTTTAAAATATTTTTGAATTAGATTTTCATCTAGGAAGGCTGGAAGAGGGGTCCATAAGTGTTGTTGATTTCTGTTCTCAGCCCTGCATTAACTGTGGTCTCTAATGACAGACACAGGGCTCTCTGGAGCTATTTGCCTCCAGGTACCCTGAAATAGAACACCCTGTTTCAGAAATCACAACAGCTTTCCCTTCCCTCAGCTTCTGAGTCCTGAGTCCTTGCAATCTCAGAGAGGAAAAGTTTTGAGAAGGCACTTCCCAAAGAACATGCGTGGCCAGTACAGCCAGCATGCAACAATGCAATCACAAGCACTTTTAAAATTATTGGGCACCTTGTATTGGGGAGGAAAGCTACCTAGAGAGTCTTAGCAGAGTCACTGTAGTTTACACCAAATTCAGCCTGGACAGAGGAAGTCTTTGGTGTCCTTCCTAGAGGGCTGTAATCAGGTTTTTTTAGTGTCTTGCTTGTACTAGGGCTGTTATAAGTTCTGTATCTGCTTGTTTTTAATTTTTTTAAATTATTCCCTTTCCAGTGTTTCCAAGGGCCACCCCCACTGAGGTTGCATGAAAGGGCCCTAAGGCATTTCAGCTGCTGCTGGGTAACACAGAACACTGCAGGGACTTCAGCGTGGGAGCTGCTGAGCACTGAGGAGGGAACAGGTAAGGCTACAACCCCCTCATGTCTTCAGCAAGTCAAATATGGGTGAGACTCTCTTGCTCCAACATCCCCCTTCTCCAGCACACACTGACTGAACACATACAAAGCTCCCAGTACTGTTTATCTGTACCATGGGGCTTTCCATGTCAGATTATTTTGCCAGAGGAGATATCTATTTTAACATTTTAAACATTATTTTTTACAGCCTCACTTCTGCCAGTGCTGTGTTAACTCCCTGCAGACTTTACAGAGGTGGCTCTGGGAAGTGTTGGTTCCTGTGTGAGTGGGGAGGAGGAGTGGAGCAAGGCAGATCTGCATCCTTTTAACTTTGCTGCAGAGGATCTGCACAAGCAAATGCTCATCTCTGCTGCAGAAGAGAGCCAAGTATCTTGCTGACATTAAGGCATCCATCAGACATGAAAAGTGGAGGGCAAATGTGGCTTTTCATCTCTGAATGGGGGCAGGGACTTTTTTGTAATGCCCTGATCACCTCTCTCTGGATGCTCCCTTGTCCTTTGCTGGTGGGATTGAGGTCCACCCTTTCCCACCCTTGGCTGTCATAACATGTCAGCAACATACAGAGGATCTCCTTTGGCATATCCCTGATACATGGAATCATAGAAACATGAAGGTTGGAAAAGACCATAAGTTCATCAAGTCCAGCTGTTAACCCAACACCACCATGTTCACACTAAACCATGTCCTCAGCTGCCACATCCCCACATTTGAACACTTCCAGGGATGGTGATTTCACAGCTGCCCAAGGCAGCCTATTCCAGGACCTGACCACCCTTGCAGTGAAGAATTTTTTCCTATTCAATCTAATTTTTCCCTGGTGTAACCTGAGGATATTTGCTTTTGTCCTGTCACTTGTTATGTGGGAGAAGAGCCTGAGCCCCACCTCACTACAGCCTCCTTTCAGGGAGTTGTAGAGAGTGATAAGTTCCTGAGCCTCCTTTTCTCCAGGCTAAACACCTCCAGTCCACTCAGCCCCTCCTTGTAAAATTTTGCTTCAGACCATTCCCCAGCTCCACTTCCCTTCTCTGGACTTACTCCAACACCTCAATACCTCTTTGTTGTTAGGGGCTTAAACTGAGCCAAGGATTCAAGGTGTGATTCACCAGCACTGAGTGTAGGGGACAATCACTGCCCTCATCCTCTATATGGGGCACATCCCCTTCCTGTGGGTGCTGGAAGGATTTGGAACAACTTAAGTGCTGTGTGCTGGATGAAGCCTTGCTGTTTGAGTGAGATCCCACATCTTGACAAGGTTTTCTCAGCAGGGCCAGGGGCGAGGAGCTGCCCTTATGGGCAGCAGGCATCTGAGCCAGGGGACATTGCTCACAAATCCACCTCTACCCACTGTGGATAGCCGGAGGGTAGGGTAAGGATAGGACAGTCCAAGAAGAATAATTTTAAAAAGAAGAATGAGGTCACATTACTGAGGATGAGATCAAGGAATAAAATAAGCATGTAGGGCACAAAGGTTTCCGTGCTAAATGAATTACAACCAGTGTGGAGTGTTAGGATACAAGGAGAAAGGTGCTATAAATACAGTAAAGTAAGAGAAAGACAGCAGCAGGCATAAGCCCATTACCTAATGAGGAACAGGAGTGGTACAGATGACCTAGAGAAAGCAGACATATTTAATGCTGTTTGCCTCACTTTTCTCCAGCAAAAAAACCCCAAATGCTTCACAGTGATATAAAGCTGGCAAGACACAAGACAGAAGAGAAAAAGAGCAGACAAGGGACATTGGGATTAAACTGAATATATTCACCAGAGGGTACAAAGGAAAAATACCAGATCAGGGAGGGAATTCTGCTCCTCTTCTGAAACCCCAGCTGGAGAGCTGCACCCAGCTCTGGGATCCCCAGCATAAGAAGGACATGGACCTGCTGGAGTCCAGAAGAAGCCATGAGAATGCTCAGGGGGCTGTAGCACCTCTCCAGTGAAAACAGGCTGAAGGAGTTGGAGAAGAGAAGAGAGAAAGAAGAGAGAAGAGGAGGCTTCAGGGAGACCTTAGAGCAGCCTGCCAGTACCTAAAGGGCTACAGAGAACTGAAGAGGGACTCCACGAGGGTTTGTGTTGATATGACAAGGGGGAATGGCTTTCAATTGAAAAATGGTAGACACAGATCTAGTTTAGCTGCTAGGAAGAAATTCTTTACTGTGAATATGGTGAGGCACAGGCTGCCCTGAGATGTTGTGGATGCTTCATCCCTGGAGATGTTCAGGGCCAGGCTGGGTGGGGCTTTTAAAAACCTGGTGCAGTGAAAGGTGCTCCTGCCCATGTCAGGGAGGCTGGAATAATATTTAATGTCCCTTCCATCCCCAAAAATGTAGAGTAATTTGCATCCCGTATTATATGGGCAAACAATGAGATTTTTGTCTTCTCTGGCCATAAACTGTTTGGATTTGCAAACAGGATCATCAGTGGATATTTAAATGCCCCCAAGTGCAATTAATAGGGATGGGAGTCCCCACACAGGAGCTGCTGGATGCACTCATGTGGAGGATATTATGGGATGCCTCCAGTCTTCCACTGTGAGCTGTACAAGGAAGGAGAGGAGGATAAACCAATTAGATTTACCTTGCTTTTATGTGTGGTAGGTGTTTCAAAATACCAAAAAAGTAAAAGAAGGCTGGAAGTCATTGATGACTTAGTGGGAAGGATTTTGCTAGTGGGTTTCGGTGAGATAAAAGCAGGGAGAGGTTGAGGGTGAGATAAAAGCAGGTTTATCAAGGTTGTTGAAGACAAAGGAAAAGGAGATGAGTTTCAGAATTCCAAATTTCTAGTACTTCTTCCTACTTAGTATCTACTAATCCTACCACAAGCCCTCAATTTGCAGGTTAAAAAAGTTCAAAACCTTCTCAGATAACTTCCAAGGGCAGAGTGATTTTTGGGGATTATGCAATGGGAGATACACACCACAGAAAGACAAGAACCTGCCCATTCAATCCTGTGTAGCATTAACGTGTACATGACACCTTGTGCATGTGACAGCAAATATGAGTTTCATGTGTTGCAGAAGCTTTGGTGTATGATCAGAACCTCATGTATTCACATCATGGACTGATGTTTCTCTTCTATTTATGTGGTCTAAGAAAGGGAAAAGAGAGAAGCATGCCTTCAGGGGCAGTGACCCTTTCTTTATTCAAACCTGAACAGAAGGAGGGTTTTTACTTCCAAGAACTCATTTTTTCTTTCTTCTTGCCACACAATGAGGACACTGAAAGAATAGGTCCTTCAAGCTAACAAGGTTGATCATCAAAGAAACTTCTGTGCTTTCTGACTCCTATGGCTGTGGAAAAGATTTAGTGCTTTCCTGAGCCAGCCTTTGGAAGCAGAAGTTATGAAAGCTCAATTTAAATTTTAAAACTGTCTATGCACAGACATTTTCTGCTCTTCCCCTAAACAACACAACATGGACCTCTGTATGCCTCCATCTCCTGAAGAGCCAAATAATGCCCAGTTTTCCCATATGATTGCAGCAGATGCCTTCTGCAGTCAATAGTGGGCCCAAGGTTAATGTTTTACATTGAGATGGGGATAGAAATACAATGGCAGTAAATTATAGTCATTATGATGGTAGGTTAAAAGCAGTGTTGCTGCAGGAGGCCCTGCTGGGAATGCTCTGCTGGGGGGGTGTTAAGTAGAACAGTCTGCTGGAAAGGACAGGATGAAGAAATATAAATAACTGCACACAGGAGGATGGGATGTGCTCCAGAGGAAAGAGCAGTGTGAGGGTAGAGCTGGGCTTTGAATGACGTTAATGTGAAGGTTTTATGCCCACTTGTATTTTACACGTGTAACATGGTGGTGAGAGCAAGGAGAAAAGCTGTTTGGAGATCTCCTGGTCCATACTCTCCCATTGCTGTGTGAGGTCTGGGTAAGGTGGCTCTTCTGTGGCACTGATGTACTTTGTCCTGTCTTGAAAATGTAGAGAAAAGTCCTAAGAACCAGGTAAAAATACTTGTGTGACATTGTGTTGCATTCCAAAAACAGCTCATCCTAAGTTCCTTTGTGGATTAGCTGCCTTCACAGAAGAGGTGAATCCCGAATGCCAGATTCATCTGCTTGGACACCAGTGGAAAAACTACCAGGAGTCAAAATTAACAAATTTAGGAAGAGTATAGTCAAGAACAGCTTTAAATAAGTTTTATTTCTGTGCCCAGCCTAATTTCTTGCTGTCCAGGAGTACCACTGCTGTGTGAATCACATAGCTGTGCTCTTGGTGCTTCTGCAAACAGCAGCCTGGTCATCGACCACCTTTTGCTCAGCTATATAAAGTGCAAATCAGCAGCCTCTTGTCTGGAGCAACAGTGCTGTCAAATGATGAAACAGTGAGTGCAAAATGCGTGATGCAGTTGCAGTTGCTGTTGCAGATCCAGGAGATACGTTGCTGATGTCCCCAGAGGGTCAGCAGCATACAACTGGTGTGAGAAGAAAACAAGTTCTGTCAGCCTTGCTGGTTGTATTTATTTGCCAGTTTTAATGTTTAAAGTGTGGTCTGTGCTAAGATCCTGACTTTTGGTGATGCCACTGGAAGAAACACTGGAAGTCCCTGGGTTGACATCAGGCTGTTGCAGTGTCCACCCTGACTGCAGCACCCAATACCCCACCACCCCTACACTGCCAAGTGCAGTGTGGAGCTGTGCCTAGGCAAGGAAGCACATTGGCACCCCAGGGACGTGCCCAAGACACCAGGCAGTGTCTGGTGTGAGCCACGCTTTGAAGTGACCCCCTGCCCCAGGGCTGGTGTACCCCAGCTATTCTCTTCCTCTTCTCCTGGGCCATATTTCACAGGTTCATCTTCCCCCTTACATGCAGTGTCTCTGACCCACGGAGAGAAAGGATGGAGCTGACCTCAGATAGGAGCCATCTCCCCACTGATGACCTGTGACCACTGACCCCAGCTGAGTTTCCCATAGTTTTGGGCCTTCTGAAGAGCCCAGCTCCTCCCACAGCTGCTGACATAGCAACGGAGCGAAGCAGAGGG